CCCTCTGACATTTATGCCTCTGTACAATTATTTTCTTCTACACAATGTAAAAATAGAAGAACTGAAATGCCCTCTGACATTTATGCCTCTGTACAATTATTTTCTTCTACACAATGTAAAAATAGAAGAACTGAAATGCCCTCTGACATTTATGCCTCTGTACAATTATTTTCTTCTACACAATGTAAAACTGGTTATAAAAAAAAGCTAACACTAGTTTCATTAGCCATTGACACCACCTTTGGAAGCTGAACTCACTTGTAAGTTTTTACTTCCTCTGCAGCCAAAACCGCCTTCTCATCTGCAGTTGACAGCTGCTGCTCTCTTTCTTGCTGCTCATACTCTTCTTGACTCAAATTCCTAAGATAAAACGGGTTGTTAAGTGAAAGTGTTTCTCTTTCTTCCCAGCAGTCTAGCTGAAATCTCTATTCAAATGTCACTTCCCATCCTACTCTCAAAAATGCAGAGACATACAAAGTCATAGGAAGGAATTCAAACCTGCCATTTAGGGATAAAAATCAAACTATGAACTGTTTGAGAATCACCTGCATTTTCTAACTCATAATTCTCTGCTCACTAATGAACGAAACAGATGTAAAAACACTGTGGGCAATCTCTTGTGCTGGAGATGAAGAAAGCTCACCTTACTTCAGTGTGGAGAGCCAGACAAATCAACCGAGCATAGCTAAGCTTATTAGGGTAAATCAAGGGAGAATTACTTCTCTTATTTCTACCATAGAAAGACCACTAGTTACTTTTCTTATTTTGTTCTGGATCAACTATTTCTGAAACTAAGACATGAAAAAGGTAGTCAGCCAAACAGCCTTTGGAACATGTCATGTAACTATGCAATTAACAGTAGAACGTTTTCACATGTCAGATGTGGAACTGCTACTACCTACTTCGATGGAATCATGATTAAGGAAAGCGGCCAATCTGAGTATTGGCAATGTTTATTGAACAGAAAAAGAATCCAAACTGTCTCATAATCAGGGTGTTATCTATTGGAAACTGGTTTCAACCTAATAACCTTCAAGTTCATGATGTCAATCTACTATAACATAGATTGTAAAGGGAGCAACATTTAATGGTTTAGAAATGCTATTTTCTAGTAACCCTTGTACTTCTTCACCCATAGTTCTTTTTTTTTTTTTTTTTTTTTGTCTTTTGTCTT